GGCGCGCCGCCGCCTCCGTTCTCGATATCGAACGGAATGCGTACAACCATATCCTAACATTTGATTTAGTAATTGAACAACGTTAAAAAAACAGAATGCTAGGTAAGAGCTTAATAAATAATACATATTTGATGCAACAAAATGTATTGTAAGCACCTTATTAGTCCGATTCAGGCTGTCGTTGGACTGACAAGTGCTCGCGGGCGCAAGCGGGGCGGGCGGGGGCTTCGCTTCCATCGGTTCCTTGTATATGTAAATTAATTTTATGGTATGTTGTTAAATATGACATGTACATTTATTTCTACTACTTTCTTAGTTACGCGTTCATTTAACAGAATCAATTCAGTTTGATTCAGTACAATATAATAAATGAAGGTATTTGATAAAAATGAAGGCATAAAAATTTGATTACCTGTGCGTGCAGATTGATCAGAGACTGCGGCGGTCGACTGATAACCACGGGAGGCGTGAATACTGGCAACTCAGCTTTTAGACGAAATACAATACTAATTATTATTTCATTCACACGAATGTCCGCGAAAATGTTTAAGGTTAGGTTACATAAAATTACAATTAACGACCTATCTCATAAAGTTAGGTTATATTTAAAATAGGTGTAACAGAATAAATAAAATAGAAAATGTAAATAAAGCTCACTGTGTTTCGTAATGCCGAGACCTTCTTTTGTCACTTTAGATAAACCCTTTATTTTCAAAAATTGCGCGGCTGAAACTAATTCATCCAAATTTTCTTCTAAACATTGAGTTTTTCCACAGTACATGAACTCCACCAACGATTTTAGTACACTAAAGCGCATTTTCAATATAATCAACGGCTCTCCAGATTGTTTTTGTAACAATTCCTGATAAAATTTTGATAAAGCTTTAAGTCCACACATGGAGATCGTTTATTTAATTAAAATATAGTCTATAGTCTATAGTCTAAATAAAGTATTTAGTATTACCTGGAAATACGCACTACTTGCTGCCAGAACAGCTTTGTGGACACGCAAAGTGTGAGAACTGCACATAAGTGTCATGTCCACTAATGATTGCATTTGTAAAAGTTTTCCGAACCTAGACATTAAGTGTTCTGAATAATCTTCATAGTGGAGACTGTACCGTATTGGTGCCATTCCAAGTAAAATTTTTAGATATCACATGCAATGCGTTTCAACTGCATTTGACAAAACGGATTTTGAAAGGTTTAACAAAAGAAAAATTACATTTATTTTTTTTAAATCAGCAATGGAACGAGTTCGTACTACGCCAGTTTTATTTTCACGAATTATCAATAAGATTATAATTATGCCAGAAGAATTACTCATTAAAATAATAATTTTGATAGGTTAGAAAAATATGTTGATCGATTTTTTTATAAAACAAAAATTGTGAAAACGCATTTTTAAAACAAAATGTTGAACGTTAAGTTGACATGTACTTTTAAATTTGTTAGCATAAAAAAAGTATAATTTAATTTTGGAAATATTTGTTTATTATAATTGCACGTTAAGAAAACCACTCTATTTAATGGATCGTTTAATTGTTTAAAAAATACAGAAAAAATAGTAAATGTTAGAAAATGAATTTATTACAAATTTGTATTCACCGTCTGGATACATTATTAACATTCAGGTAAACTTATTAAATGAACTTTTAAATATAATTACAACAGATAATAAAACACACTATCACAGACTAATTAAGTACTGGAAATTGAATACATATGCAATGTCTTAATATTTTTAAATGCTACATATTTTGTATTCTTGAAGAGGTTTAGATTATTTATTTGTATTGAAATAATTAATGAATATTGCAAAAACAATTTTGCCTTGTCTTCACTAACATGAAGGAATGAATTTAATTTGGTCATAAGGCACTTGGAACAAATAGAAAGATAATGGCCAGACTTGTAATTAGATTACCTGATAACGATTAAATGATTTACAGAAAAAAATACAGTCATCTAAATAATCAAATATACACTCTGGAATTTCACTAATATGAGTTATTTAGCACTTATAAGAACTATAAAAATTATTAAACAGTTTTATAGAATCTAATCACATTTAGTTTTATGAATTTCACAATCAACACATACTTAATTTTTTATATTTATACAGATTTATAGAGAGGTATTAGCAACCCAAAACTTGAAAAAAAAGCTAATATAGACTTTACAGAAGAGGTTATATTTGTTTTGTATGGTCTATGGACAAACAGAATATTTAATAACCTATAGTAAGACACTATTATGATGAGGCAAATGCATTAGAGAATTGCTAACAAAATCTCGCTTTCCCATATAGAGATGAATTAATACAAATTTGTAACACTTCAAATACTTTTAGTATCGCCTTAGATATCAGTTTTATACATTATCTAGCTTTTACCCTTACTTTCCTACGACGAAGCTCATAGACGCCACAGCAAGCGCTCGCGCCGAACAACATCTTGTCTTACTGGAACACATTCTGTATATCTGAGATGGAAATATACAAATATAAACGAAACACCCTGTAGCAAAATATATCGACTGTAAAAAAAGGCTGTACTTTTATTTGTACTTCTGAATTTATATTTGGTGTTACATACAATAAAAAATGAAATACTGTTTTTTATAACCTCGTCCATTTAAAAAAAAACTCAGCTTTATGACGAAAAACTGAAAATTGTGAACTTCATTTCGTGTACCTACAAACTATACAGCGTACTAACAATTATCATTTACATTTAATATTAATTACACCGTATGTCCTTTAATATTGTCACACTAATACAGTTTTTACAATATTTCATCCCAGATATTGCAGAACTTAAAAATAATAACAGCCGCAAAAGTCCGTTAACCACAATTAAAAGTACGCATTTATATTTTGAATTGATTCCAATATTTATAGAAAAATATTCTCATTATTATTAAAAAACAGTTTATTTTCGTTAATCACCTTATTCTATTAATTTGAAATGTTACTTTTGTTCAGTTGTTTGAAATAGGATCCCATAGAATATGTGAACAAAAAATAGAGCACAGATTAAAAATTAAAACAGAAAAAATATATGACAGTTTTTATAAGCACTTTGCGTGAGTAGAAAAGAAGAGGTTAGAAATTCCGAAGCTCCTTTATATTTACACATCTTTATGACATTGACTAAAATCCTTTTCACTGGGATGCCTATATTAACTAAATCGACGTTAAAACTACTGTAGTTATAGCGTGACCAGGAAAATAGAAAACCACTGAATCGCCTACTTTATTACATTTTCTATAAGTCCACGAAGATGTTTTATTTCTGGTCATGCTACACATGTTAGGAGATTCTTGGTGCGGAGACATTTTAATTAACTCTACAACAGATTGACACTTTAATTGACAGCTATTAAAAAAAAGTATACTTCGATACTGTGAAGTATTATTATTGTACTAAGCACATTAATTATTGCATTACTTTAGTTAAAATAATACGTATAACAAAGTAAAGGGGAATTTGCGTAAAATAATTACAATATAGCTATGTATAAAGTAACAGCATATGAACACTTTACATAGGTATGAGTAAATTTGTACAATAGGTACATAGTATGTAGAAAAAATAGAGATTCATTTATAGAGATGGTTCAGTGAAACGAGACCATTGCTAGTCCTAACTCTGACATGGCGGGAAATACTGACATGCTGCTCTACAACTGTTACAGATTCAACATAAAGTATACCACAGACAAGCGTCGAACCATAAAGAAGTTTAGGATGAGAGTTTTTACAAGCAATTTACAAATATAGAAATTAAGAGAACTTTTAGCATTGAACATTTGGCTTATTATAGTATTACTATTAAAGAGAATTAATTTTAGTCTGCATTTTTACAGACAACTGAACAATGGCCTGTTTCAGTGGCAGGTTACGTTAGTCTTATTATTAAAAGCAAATTACAATATTTACATCAGCCGTCGATAGATACACTTGAGGTATATCTAATATACACATCGATTATTTGATCATAGTTTAAAAAAAACTTAAAAACTAGTAGTCTATGGAATGTTAATTGTCTATGATCTTTAGGAAGTCCTCCGGTGAGATGTGGATGCCATCGCTGGAGTCGGTCGCGTTGGGGACGGTATTCTTCAGTTCGCCGAACGTGTAGGTAGGTTTGGGCTTGCTCCTCTGCCGGGCGGC